AAAAAAAAAACACTTCTGCAGCATAAATACAGAAAATCACATCCGTGTAATTTTTCAACATCTCAGTTTTGATTCCAAAAAGAAGTTTTGATACTAAAAAGAGATTTTGGTTCATGTGGTACTTGTCGGGGCAGGTAAAGGTGGAAGTGATGCAGCACAAGATTGTAGAGTGTTTGAAGCAAGGAAGTGCTGTCAGAGGTTTGTTCACAACATTAAAAGGGCAACGAAAGAAAAAAAAAAAAATCTATATCTATCTATCTATCTATATCTATATATCTATCTATATCTATCTATATATCTATATCTATATATCTATCTATATATCTATCTATATATATCTATATATCTATATATCTATATATCTATATCTATATCTATATCTATATATATATATCTATATATATATCTATATCTATATATATATATATATAAATAATGTCAGTCTGTGTTGGTTATGGACCAGAATACCAAGATTAATATTGAATAATGATATCTGCCCGAAAATCCATATAGATGAAACCATTATATATTTTCCAACAACTAGATGATGTGTGACGTTAATACATTAAAACATGTTGACAGTTAAATGTAAATTATTGGACACTACTTTCAAGATTTAGACTATAAAGAAGGGCTACCAAAAGTCGGCCCCTTGAGGGCTATTATTGTACCGGTTCTAGTGGTTTCCATGTCTCAACACAGCCGAATCCGATGATTGCAGTTTAGCAAAAGCTTGTTAATCAGCTATCAATGGTAATCAGCTGTGCCAAAGCAAGGAAAGCTCTAAAACCTGCAGAACAGCTGCCCTCGAGGGCCGACTTTGGGCAGCCCTGCTAAAGGGTCAAATGTCCATAGTCATTGTAGGACATACAGAGCATTATAACAGGCCTATTTAATCCATCTCTTTAATGCAAAAATACAAAGAATTGTAAACAAGTTCCAAAACAATGTCTTATCTGTGTAATTAGTGGCACCCAAAACAAATGACAAATTTAATGGCTGAAGGATATTGCCAAAACTAATATCCCTACTTCTCCATTAAGGTTGATAGAAACAATATAAAAAAAATTAAAAAAAAACTAACAAGAAGGCCGACAACAGAATCCTGAACAACCTTCTGCAATTATTATGCAAAGTCCATGAAACTCTTAACATCTTGAAAATTTCATATAAAAAAATAAATAAAGAAAGAAAAATCTAGAATTCTTTTTTTCTGGAATGATAATCTTTGTTAATGAAATTTTGTTGAGAAACCCTGTTCAGACTACACATAGATGCAGAACGAAAGAAAAAAAAATAGCCAAATAGAAAGAGTGGATTTTGTCAGAGTAGTGTATGAAATAAGTGGCAGTCTATTTTAGGGCTGAAACAATTAATCAGATAATTATGTTTAATCAATTATTGAAATAATCGTCAAATAATTTAGTAATCGATTAATCGTTATCTGGAGTGTAGAGACTCTAAAACAGGCCTTTAGCTGACAGAGCGACCCTACTTGAGTAGCAATTATATCAAAATTGTTAAAAAAATAAAAATAAAAAAAAATACGTAAACATTACACAAAATCTTTTTTGTCTGTCAATATGCTCCATCCAGAACTACTCAAGAGGAAAAGTTGCAGCTGGTTTAATTTAGCAAAAAATCTTCTTTAAAGAACCTTTAGCTATCCGAATATTGATCGAAAACAATCGACAGATTAATCCATTTGCAAAATAATTGTTAGCTGCCGCCCTGGTCCAATTCATCATTACAAGGGATAATGATGTGTGTATATACATTTTTGGGTATATTTACTAACCCTGATGACCAACTGGCCTTGTGGGGACCAAAGGCTAGTCTTAATGTGGTGGACCCACATTTTTAATGTAAGGGAGACAGTTTAGAAGTTGTGAATTTAGGTTTATAAATATGCTGGTGATGGTTAAG